TGTGAAGGTGGCCAAATATGATACAAGAATGATTCAAAAAAAGTGTTGTATTGTGTCAAAATTTGATTTCCGACAGGTGGCAGCTAAACAGCTTCAACGGAGTTCATGAAATTTCGTCATATCACAAGTACTTCATAACAGCTTTGAGGAATTGCTCCAAAAAGCGGAAAAGTACCAGAAAATCAACTTAATTTTCTTATTCTTGGTCATTGTATACAATTGTGAAGAAACTCAAGAAGCTTATCTAGCTACTAAAATCCATAGATCAGACTGCTTCCAAGTATGCTTCTTAAAAAGGAGCGCAGCCGCATAACTTTTTCCGCATGCTGCTACAGAAAATAAACATTAGGTGAAGCAAGGATTGCCAGAAAAAAGCGTAACATCGCACTCCCCATAGCTCTCATATCTAGCACTAACTGGCATACCTGACTCCGCCCGGCCCCGTCAAATTACCTCTTGAAGGAATCCCCTTGCCTGTACAACTTTCCCTGTGACTACTTCTACGTGCCAATTTCTTATGAACGTTTTGTTTTCGCATTCAGCATGCTCACTCACTCCCCTTGCCAACTCCCAGCCCCGCAGCTCAAACTCTGCAAGAAATCGGTAAAATCGATAAAAGCATTTGATAATTCCAGAGACTAATATTGTGTTTGTGCATACATACCCCCTGCGCCAACTCCCAGCCCCGTAGGTTGACCTTTGCAGAAAATTGATAAAATCGATACCGATCAATGACGAGTAGCCTATGACACCCGCGCAGCCCCAAAGTGTATGTGTGCAATGCTTGCCGGATCGGTTCAGAAATAATACCTTCTATTGGGATCATACGTACAGACATACACAGTAGCTGATTCACGTTAAAAACAAACTTAATTGTGTTCGTAAATGACATTTCACTTATGTGGACAAATGACTGTAAACCTCAAAAATAAAACTTAGACCGCAGCCGATATTTAACAGGTTAATACGAAAATGATTTTTATTATGCTTGGCAGGTCTTCTTCATTAAGCTAACTGCAATATACGATGATGGATCAATGGTTCGATGTGCTTGTGTTTGCCTAATGAGCTTACTGACTCTGCTAACATATATCATGTTATCGCTAACATCAGTATCACGTCGATCATACGCCCTCCCCTCTAGTCCCTCAGTACGACCTTCACGTGTGAAGTGTCACATGCTACGCTTGTCCCTGCCCCTAGCTCTTGTTTTTGCCACCGTAAACACTTGGAGAGTGGAGAGTATTTGTGGGATCAGGTCACCATCCTCACCACAACCTAACGTATTCAGACATTTATACAAATATTGTTTAGGGACCAATAATGACATCGTGTACCCATGTTCTTCCCTCTCGCAATTGCACTGGAATAAATCGCTGATGTTTACATCAACTAAATAGTTGATGGTAAGCGAATAGCCGATAACAAGTGATAAGGAGTACTTCTTGAAGAGAACGCAAAAAATTAAACGTGATTTATGGCGCCGAAATAAATGGTATTAGCACGTTGCTGTCAGTGCCTACATAATGCATGTGATGTCGCATGTGATCTTTTTTTGCGGCCTAACTAACAAGGGAACGATACTTGGTGTCCGTGGCCTTTTGAGATGAAACGTATACCATCACTCTCGTTTTAGAACGCTGATTCCAAATCTGACTTCCTTTTCTGCTAATCGTTTCTCTGAAAGAAGTTATGAAGGATTTTCGCGTCAATGGTTGCCCAAGTGAAATGCGGCCGAGGATGCCTAACTTTCAAAAAGAAGCTTGATTGAGGCAATGCAAAACTGAAGAATACAAAAGGACTCGAACCTAAGCCTACATTAACTTGCGAAGCTATCGCACTAGCCACTACACCACATCTTAGCGACAGTTTTATCATTCCAGACACGTCTCCTTTGACACAAAAATCCTTCATAACTTCTTTTAGAGAAACGATTAGCAGAAACGGAAGTCAGACTCGGAATCAGCGTCCCAAGGATAATGTAATGGTATACATTTCATCTCAAAAGGCCACGGACACCAAGTATCGTTTCCTTGTAAGACATTGCTTGAATAGCAGCGAAGGTGCATTTCGCGGTTGAGATATTCGCGCCAAATCAGAGCCGGCCACCGCATTTGGTGTACGACTTGCATCGGGTTGCGTGCTATCGCTTGGGCACCTACGGCCCACTTGCTGGGTCTCGGCGCAAACCCTTCAAGCCGATGCAAGTCGTTCACTAAATATGGATCAGATTTGGGGACGATATTTTAGCCGCGAGTGCTTGGGCAGCGTCTTAGTAAGGCTCCCTAGAACAGTTTTCACATGCAATCCCCATAGGTCCAGATTTGCCAGGACGATACCTTTAAGCGTTTAAATTTACTGCATTGATCGCAAATCGCTGCGCAATGCGCGCGTTGTCATGCATAGCTAAGGAAAATGGAGCACCTGGTTGACACAGATTGTCTGTATTTGTGATCTTTAAGGCATAGAACTGTGTCGAATGATTCATGGGAATAAACCAACTGATGGCGGTTTCATAAGAAATCTTCACACTGAGTGCCAGACCTACTTAAAGGTACCTCACAAGCGAATGGTCAGAAATCGAAGTGGCCAATGGAAGCAGGCTACCCACCATTCGATGCAGCATTCAACGATTTCGATTCTGTATTCGATATCTGCTTAGCGCCTTTGTAGACGAAGTTTTATTGCAAAAAAATCGTTCCTAAAAATTGCGTAACCGAGCGTTGTTGCACTTTCAGCTCACCTTTAGTTTTTAAGAATATGAAGTAACCTAGCCGCATGTTCTGGCCCAGCATTGAACCGAGGTGTCTGTACTGCCAAGTTTGCACTTTGCATGCACGATTTCTTAGCAAAATAACGGCATTTGATGGCTCATAAATTCGCCCACATAGGCAGCAGATATGGAATAAAAATTCTAAAGTCAGCGTTTTATGCTGCTCTATTTAATCTCAGACAGTCGATGCTGTAGCTCCGGAGGAAAGTCGAAATCTGGCAGAGTCGCGGAGGACCCGCCTGATCATTGAGAGCTGGGCGAGGGGGCGGTCCCTTCTTGTAGGTCACGGTGACGTCACAAGCAGGCAAGTGGGACCCCTCTTCGGGACGCGCAAATCTCTGCTCCGGAGGTACGCCAGATTTGGAAGAGCCCCGGAGCAGAGATTTGCGCTCCAGAGGTACGCCAGATTTGGGACACCTCCGGAGCACAAAATGGGAGGGCTCCGGAGCACAAATGGGAGATCTCCGGAGCACAAAATGGAAGGTCTCCGGAGCACAAAATGGGGGGGGGTCTCCGGAGCACAAATGGGTGGGCTCCGGAGCGCAATCCCCAGCTGGGGAAACCCCGCGGCTCGGCCATTTCTGCTCCGGGGGTATGCCGTCGACTGTCTGAGATGGTATGCAGCTTGATTGGATTAGCCACTTCTATTTCTGACCATTCCCTTGTCAGGAAATTTTTACACAACACGTTGTTCCGTCTTGCAAAGTTTCATTTTTACGCTTACAATATCAAATTCAGTTGAGTTTCTCAATCGGTCAAGCAACTACTGCTCAAATGACAAGTTCTGAACTTGCTTCGATTTATAAGACTTCCCTTATAGAATACTCTACATCATAATTTACTGTGATAGGTACTCTCAACCTGTCTGTCTCGATTCTGATTCTGCATTTAGACTGCTGTATTAGCGTCGGGCTAGCGCCATCGATCGATATCGATAAGCAATTCCACAAGGGAGCTAACAAGTAACTCTGCAGCATAAACTCTAACCCAATCCTTATGACCATGTAATATTGCACAAGACAATCTTTAGATTTCATCATAAGGCTCCCGCCAGAGTGCCGAAGTTATGCCAGCGCTACGTCAGCATTTCGATCGATACACGTGTATTTCGTTGGGGGCATCTACCTGCTGAGCTAGCCCCGCCCCAACGAAATGCACGTGTATCGATCGAAATGCTGGCGTAGCGCTGGCATAACTTCGGCACTCTGGTGGAAGCCTAAGAACTAGCGTGTTTATAAGTCATTCCATTAAAAACAAATTTTACACACTCATGCAAGAACTTGGAAAAATGCGTATTTCACATAAGTCATGTGGACAAATCAGTAGAAGAGTTGTAGAAATTTTTTTTCTAAACCGTAGTTTGAACATCTTGATAAGCGGCTGATCTACCTAAGGCACAAGTCAAATACACGTGAGAGTTATTTACATTACGGATTAGCAAATTCTTATTTGTATCACGAGTTCTTAATCACAACAACGAAACAGTATGGAATCGTTTGATGCAGAAAAAAAGTTCCGCGATTGCGATATTGTTCCTTTGGTATAACAATTACAAATGCGTGTGTGATCTGCTCCTAAGGTGTTGCGAGACTCTCAAACACAGCCAAAAAATGAAAAAGCCGAGCATAGCCTGCTTGGACGTCGACGGTTTTTTCTCTGCAAACTTGCTCTGAAGCTCTATACGCTAGCATGTAAGTAGTCTTGTAGGTTAGCATCTAGTATAGCAATGACGACAACATTTGCCCGGCATGCTTTGCTTTAGTATACAGTTCTATTTCAATGTAGACCAAAGTGTTCCATCTGGAGCGGCGCGTCCGCTTCGCTGGAGGCCTTGGGCGCGCAAAGTGTCGGCATTTTGCCAACCAGAGACTGAAGAGAATGAGGAGAGACAGATATAAGTAATTAAAACATTATATGATGTACTGTAGTGATGTGTGGGAATCATTGCTAAGCGGACGCTGCCCATTCCATTTTCGTCCTTTTGATCATCTTTCGCGCATACTGCGTGAGATACGAAGCACAGCTTACTACTTCTAGCCGCCGCAGATAAAACTGTGCTTCTCGTTTTCTGGCTATGTGGTAGGTTACCACATAGTATTAGTTGAGAAGTACATCAGCCATTTATTCGTCAGGCCATCCAGGTATTTAGTTCCGCAGGGTGGATCCGTTGAATGGCACAACAAGCTTTTGTTCCGGTTATAATATATAGGTTGACCCGGAGGGGACAATGTTTTCTGTTAGGTTTGTTTATGTTTTCTGTTAGGTTTGTTTTGCAACTTCGAGACTATCTTTAGAGGCAACGTTGATTGGCAAATCTATCAGGATTGTGGAGAAAGGGCGTTGACTGGAACAAAAGCACATCATCGAATTCCCTCATTATGTAGCTAAATTTTTAGTCACCACATGTTTCAAGATGTGACATAGCAGCACATAATGCACATTGCCTCTTTCTCTGGCTCTTAGGATGCATTTCTTTCAAATAACTGTTTGTCACGCCTTTCCTCTCTTTCTGTTTAACTCAGGTTCATTGTAAAATTCGGTTATTTTTTACACTATGTATGTATCTATGTACACATTATGGTCAATGCCTCTAAGTGAACGCGCAAAGTGTGCAGTAGTATGTTGTGCAGTTGCACACATGAGAATATGAACTAGCCAAAGTAAATTTCCAATTGCGAAAGCAGGGGCGTATCTGCTTATTCCCACAGTTGACAGAATCGTTTTTGACTACTTGTTTTTGACAGATGAAGACGGAGAATAGTTATAAATAATTTTAGTTTATTCAAACGAAGTCACCAAGACCCTTGTCTTCTGCAATGCGCCCAAAAAAGTTCTGAAAATATTTGGTAAGATTTATAACAAACCAAATCGTCTAAGAGTCAATTTCTTAGATTCAGTAGAAGGTCCAAAATCGTATTTATACCGGACAAGTATGAAGAGCCGAAGTCGACATCTCATATTAGATTAGATGACATGAGATTGTGCATGTGCTACTTTGTCATGGTTATCTTACTAATCCGCGTACATTCAGTGCTGAAATGTAAATAGACTGACAATTGGCGAAAATGATCTTTACTTCGCCTCGAATGAATAAATTATACTAAACATCCATGCATTTATATCGCTTCAAACTCAAAGCCGACGTTGGCACGGACACATTTGTCGAATACACTGATTTCTGTCGCATCTGCAAAGATAGCATTGATTTCCGTCAACAAAACACTGCAGTAAAAAATCATAAATAAGTGAAATACCAAAGATTCTCAAGAGTGAGCTAAAAAAAGAGATCATGAGCTTGCCTGATATGGTGACGTTGGCAAATGATGGGATTGGAATGCCAACTTTCAGAACATTATTGGTAAGGAATTTAGTTACCTTGGAGAAGATTGTTTCAAATACTGCTAAGAAGCTGCAATTACGGTTTCAAAATGAAACTAATTAGCCAAGTTGTTGACTGACGTGAAAGTGATATCACCGATCTCTGAAGATCCTGGTCTCAGATGGAACTTAAGGTTCGACACTTTTGCACTTAGTCTGCGATTGACTATCATAGGAGTAATAGACATGGTTCCATTGAGTACTGAAACCGTAAAAATCCAGCAAATATCCTACGTCGATTGTTTCAAACTTACTTATGGTGGCAAGAGGTTTCGTATTATTTACCCTAGGATCGATGTACATATTGAGTGCAAATTGTCCACCAATGGTGATACCGTCTTTAGCCGTCATGTAGACGTGAGGAGCCTCAGTTGTTTGCATCATCATTTCAATGTACTGGTTCGGATACTCCTTTCTCAGCTTCTTGAAGAATTTCCCCATGCAAACGGATAGCAATGAGCAACTGCAACATAAGTAAAACTTTTGTACCAATGAACCTTTATATAAGGTGAGCTTTCACCTTGTTTTCAGGAAAGATTCAATTACTGGAACATTCTTCTTGTTGATAGGAATGCTGATAATTCCGGATTCATGTATGCCAGTGAGACCGCACATCATTAAGCTTTCGTCTAGCCAAAGCGTAGTCATTTGTGGTACCAAACCTTCTTCTGAAAAATCTCCTATTAAATCACAAATGTTTTTGAAATCGCATTCTTTTCTTTTTTTAGGCGTCCTGTTTTTCACCTGCAAATTTCTATAATCAGTTCAAATTTTTGGTACTAATGTGGTCTACAGAAAAGTCCAGCTGCAGATTAAGCGGAGAATTTCATTCCAATCCATTCCGTTTAAAGGTCTCATCGCATAGACGTCCGTGATTTGAAACATTAAGAAATTGTCTACCTGTAAACTGCCCTGATGTTGCTGCATCGCACACCTGGTCGTCGCCGTAGGTCACTTTAAATGAACCCATAAGGTCCGCATAATTACTGAAAGACGCAAATTTTCATCGTGATGAGGGTACATGCACCAAAGTTCACTCACTCCGTATATGCTGGCTGATCAAGCGCGTACTTAATATGGAAACCATAAAGAGGGAAATGAAGCGGCAGAGTTCGTAACACCAAATTGGTGGGAATCAGTTGAGCTTTTACTGCAGTGCAAACCTTAATACTTTGATTATGACGGTATTTCGTATTTTACAGCTTGTGACACCCACCATTTTTCTAATTCTGAATTTCATTACTTTCTCAACCATGCTGCGCATAACATTCAATATGTCAGGCATGAATCCAGTGCCATTCGCACTAATGTAGAAGTAAAATAGCCAAAAAATTTTCTTCATTTGGGAACTTACTAGTAGTCAAAGCTGTCGAGTTCCATTTTACATTCGCTCATCTCCAGCTGAAGGTGACCATCGAGGGAGTTGACCTTTCCAGTCAAATTTACGTTAAATCCCGTCGCGGCCGCTTCTAGCCAACCTGTTGATGTGGTCTGTAAAATTCTGAGAATTTGTCACGTTTAAAACTCCTTCATTTGGAATTATTGAACTGGACTCTGCCTGCAAGAACTTGTTGTTCTGTAAGATTCTGTTGTTTAATAGTATAATCCCAATCCCATTAAGCTCTTGCTTGAGCTTGTTACCAAGGATTAAAAAAATATTTTTTCAACGCTGTGCGTCACTCTGGTTATTTCTGTAGCCAGTTGTAGCTTTTTTGAGCAGGCAATGTTTACATTTTCAGATATTAATTTTACCAAAGTTTAGATTGATGAGAAAGAAGCTTCTGGACAATTATCGGATTTTGATTCAGAAATGGTGCGGCAGTGAGGAGAGGGGGGGGGGTACGGTTGAAAGAACATGGCTATACGTACATTGATATCAAGAATTTTGTTGGGAAGTATGAAGTCTGCTTTCCAACTGCCTGTAAAACTGAATAAACCTCCATGCGATCTGAAAACTAGTCCATGCTCAGCGTTTGTATCTCCAACAAACCTGAAAATATGCATTTGTACTAAATAAGTTCAAATAATCAATCAAATTATGGTACCACATACGTTGGAAGTTGGATCTCCTTCTTATTCTCCACACGTATAGTCAATTTCACCGTGCTGTTTTTAAATGGGAAGACGGCATTGATGTCGGGAATTTCGAAGTCATTTATAGCTTTTTCTATCTGAAAAATTATGCGGTAGATGTCAACAAATGTTTGAAAAGTGCTCGTCGCTTACCAAATTGCCTGCCGCTTTCGGTAGGAAAGTTAGAGCAGAAGGGTATATCCGAGTCTTAAGATTTGGCTCTTGCTTGGTAATGGAAATACTGGTAACGAGTAAAAATAATTCTAACCAGTGAGCATTCATTGCTGTTACACTGGGGCAATATTATGCACTGCTTTGATAAGGCTCGATCTTCACTGTCATTTTTTAGCTTCTTTGGGAGGACATAGCTAATATTATTGCTTTACTTATCGTTTCTGTGCCGATAAAGCACTTCAGTGCTATCTTTTTTTCTTAAACTTCACATATATTTGATAAGGGACGAGTCCGTGTTTGACACAACTCCTGAACCTTTTTTGAGAAAATTGGGACCTTTCACGGGCCCTAGCACTTTATTGCAAGACGGAAATGTCAGTGAAGTGTTGATTACTTACATGTAGGAACAGCATTTTCATTTGATTATTTCATAGCTGCCAGAAGTTATTACCATTATTATTCCACTTCCAATAATTTTCCGAGGTCTTTAATAAGAATGACCTTCAAAAATCGAAAAGCAGCTTCCGAGCAAGGTGGATTAGGCTTTGGGAAAAGGCCCTCACCGTCTCCACTCCCTGCCATGTGGGTAATTGAATTTATAGCGAAAAAGCCAGAAATCTAGTTTTTTGCTTTCACTTGGCTTTGAACTTTCCATTCAATTGTCACTACTATCGTTTGGGGCAAAAACATGGTCACACGGGCTTCTTTTGCCACAAGCTTCTTATTGTCGGATTTTCTGCAAATAGCTACCACTGTCAATACGTAAAGTTTTATCTTGATAATGCAATTCGAGTGCTCGCAAGTTATTTTTGTTGGTCGCTCAAATGTTTGATGATGCCTAAATGTGCTTGTCTTCGGAGGGTAAAGTACACTATTGTTTTTCAAATTCCAATGCCAAAGTATGAAGAAAGACTGGGTTGAATGAACTACGAATTATTTCAACGTATGTGGCGGTCAGTACCGATGGACAAACAATGGTCAGCTATATAGCGAGCTTCAAATTGGTAATCCCAGGCCACGGACAGTTACTTTGACGTCCATAAAAAACTGTAACGTATTTATTTTACAAGAACTAACTATGAATTCCTAAAAGAATGCTTGTGAATGGGGCTCGAATGCACGAAAGTTCCTGCAGCCAAGGAGTATGCCAGCGTTTTACTTCAGAATTGAAGATTGAGTCTACACTTCATCAGCTCGTTGTAGTATTTCAAGCCTTTCACAGCCGCATAATTTTTCACCATGCTATCAGCTTCCTGCACGCTGCTACTGATTGTCCAGAATTGATCGTGGGTACCATTCTGTATCACATTGCCTAAAAACGATGAGTAAGCGAATCAGGAAACGGAAATCACAATATTTAATCTCAAACCTGCTACCCAGAACAGATTCCATTTAATGTCCATATCTAAGCTACCTTTCAGGCCATAAATAAACACGCGAAAAAGGTCATTAGATGGAATTTTGTACTAAATTAATATTTGTGCGAATATCTCCTGTTGCCGTTCATACAAATGTTACCTTATTTCGTACTGCTGCAACGATTGTTACGAGAAATACAACCAGGTCCTCGTCCCCGCCTGGACTCCAAGTTTGAGAACTAGTTTTAACGACTCCCACTGAAGCTATAACATTAAACCACACCATCTTCAAAAAACTTGTAAATTTGAAGTTTGTAAGCAGTAACCTTCGAGTGGAATGGGAAAAATACAAATGTGTAGCACATGCTAGTATTTAGACTTCGCGGGTAACTTGCTATAGCGCAGGCCAAATCAATAATTGATTCAGTGGCTAGTAATGCTGATACTCCTTCCATTTTGGATTGAAAAAGATGTCGCTTTTCTCGCTACCAACGCAAATAAAACTAATATCATTTGGAAAGCACTGTCTGATAGAGAGAGCAAGCTGTAAAAGGTGATCACTGAATGTCACTGAATGTCTTCAAAGTGTGGTCACGTAGAGTTGGGTGCTAAAGTTTGAAGACATCCAAATATCTGTGATATCGAACTTGTGCTTGAAAGAAAATTTTGAAGGCACCGTCCACTCAAAATGGGGTCGATGAAATTTTGATGCGTAACAGTAGTGGGGCCCTCAACTGTATACCTATCCAATTCGCGCTGGCAAAAGTTGCTTCCGAAGCGAGAAAATTGCTTCGGAAATCGCTTCAGGTAACGGTTCGCGACGTTAGTTCCTCCCCTTTCGGGTGGGTGTGACGTTCGCCCCGCCCATCCGTGCGCGCCCAACCAATCACCGTATCGAAGAAATCGCTCTTCGGGTTCTGAAAACCGGGGTTTTTCGTGGTTTTCCCCGACTTCCGACTTGATATTCGGAATCAGGGGTACGGGAAGGCCTTGGAACGGCAAAAACATGAAGGTCGAAATGCTGGGTGGACGGTGCCTTTAAGGAGCTTCCATTATGTCACTTATGTAGTCATCGCGCATGATATACGAGATGTACAGCTAATTTTTTCTCCAGCTAGATTAAGGGATCGAAAACGGACTAGAAACGATTCCCCTTTACGTTTCTTGCGCTAAACCTGTCATTTCCCAAACTAGGGTATGATTTTTATAGTTGGATTTTTGAAGCCTATAGTATACAGTGCTAGACAAAATTGTAGGTCCACTCTAAAAAATGTCATAACTCACTTTGTGTCAATAAAATGTCCAAAATATAGTATACCCGTGTGTTTACCAGCCTACTATCAGTCGACAAAATGGGTCTCGTTTCTTGGTTATTCAAGAATAAACCAAAAATTTTGAAAAAAGCAGGCTTGAAGGCTGGTCAAAATTATAGGTCCACCTGAAGTTCTTACCGATTGAAGCACTTCCTAGCTTCCGGATTTTTTTAGGTAGGTACACATCCAAAAAACGTTAAACAGCTGCTTTAGCGAAGCTTGGAGATTTTTTAGGGATTATGGTCTGGGGTCAAAGGGGACTTCGTGAAAATTCGCAAAAATCAAGGGGGACTTCGTTTTTGCATTTTCAACTAGCCACCTCATGCCGAGCCCTGCTGTATAACCATGTGAGGGGGAAGCTGCTGGCGTTTGTCAAACCAATTTGGTCAAAATACTGCGAGTGCATGAAATAAGTATTTAGAACTCTGATACATGCTGACAGAATAAGAGTTTTGTGATTTCCTTGAGCGGAGATGGAATTTTATGGTGGTTATTATTTGTATTAGGTCATTCCGAAAGTAATTTCGCTTTTTTCAAACGGACGCCACATGAGATGGAACAAAGATTTCTACGAGAACTTGGAGGCATTCGATGCAGAATTTCGTCCTCTTTCTAATGGTTATAAAACTATTGCAGCATATTTAACGTCCTTTCAGAAAATGACCAAAATCTGCGACCCATGCTTTTTGAGATGGTCAAGTTTCACGATTTTTTGAAACTCTCATATCAATCCTCAGAAGGAGTTCAAGTAACGATTCGATAGAGTAAACCTTATAGAATACAGTACTACTTTTTTCTCTTCCTTTCAGCTCGCCGTAATATTTTTTTTAGATTTTTTAACAGAACTATCGGATTTTGGCAGGCCCACCTCAGCCACAATCGCATCAAACATCATAATTTTTCGGAATTTGAGACTACCAAGATGGTATTGTGAGTCAGCATTAATTTTACAAAGTAAGTGAGGGTTTACGGGTTCGAAATATCAAATTTCGAGTTTTTTGGGTACAGCCTGGGGCTCGCTAAAAAAATGAGTTATGATGATTTCTCCCCGGAAACTAAACGAACCGGAAACAAAAAACACCTTTTAGGAAGAGGAGAAAATGCTGCATCGAATAGTGTGCGAGCTGCCTTTCTTTTGATGTTCTACGAGGATTTAGCTGCTCAAGTATGGAAATCGGTAGCATCAGTTAAAATTCTGTCAAAAATGTATGACAAGCTATGGAAAGGAGAAAAAAGTAGTGCTATATCCTATAAGGTTTACTCTATCGAATCGTTACTTCAACTCCTTCTAAGGATCGATATGAAATTTTTAAAAAATCGTGAAACTTGACCATTTCAAAAAGCATGGGTCGCAGATTTTGGTCATTTTCTGAAAGCTCATTGATAGTTTTGCAACAATTTCGTAACCGTTAGAAAGAGAATGAAATGCTGCATCGAATGCATCCAAGATCTCTTAGAAAACTTTGTTCCGTCAAATGTGGTGCCCTTATGAAAAAAGCGAAATTACTTTCGGAATGACCTAATATAATTCAGTCCAAAACTTTGCATGAATTGCGACTTGCGCGATAAAGTTTGTCAAATAGGCTTGCTTGGCTCTATTGCATAGAGCCTCTCAAGCTTCCTTGGGCCTTGTTGCGCACGGAAAGCACTTTTTTCATCCTGGGCATAGGTCTTGTTCGCACCAGCATTTGACGACAAACATATTGTGTTGATGTAATTCATGAGAAGAAGGATGATGTTCAACTGCATGTCCAAACTCACCGAAATCTTTCCTGCACAGCGATTTCAGTACGTCATGCTGATAGTCGTATCCCATTTCGTACGTGTTCTGACAGGCACCAATCAAAACGGCAAATAGAATTCTTGACATATTTGGTCCGAAATCACCGTTTCAAAAGTCAAAGGGGGAAGTTGGCATGCTTATATCTCGTGTACTCATCGCTTTTTCAAACATTTCGGATACAGTCTTTGTTCGCGGCACGGATGCTCATAATGCCTACTCGTCCACGTTGACTAGCTTTCATCAAGTGCACCAATAAGCCTTTGAGGTCGGTTCAAAATCGAGCAATAACGGCATCCACCTCTCTTTGCTAGCGTTTGGTGTACTCGTGAGCTTTTTATTTGAAGATCACTAATCTTGCCATGTTGCATTGGAATTTGATGATTTTACGACCCTCATTGCTTTGTCATAATTGAATAATATATTACATTTTTTACGTATTCACACAACTGTTCGATTGCTTTGTCATAAATGAATAATATTTTATACTTTTTCAACTTATTTACGCAAATAATCGATGCTCCATCTAAACATTGTGCTTAGAGCAGTGAAAAATGCTAACAATTCAATAAAAGGACCCGGTGCTGCATAAATTCATGGCCTTTGAAAAGATTGTAACATGAAGCTATGTCACCAGTAACCAATGGCAAATAACTGCGGTAGTAAATCTGAGATAATAAAGTACAGCACATGATATGCACAGCACAGCTCTTTACATGACATCAATAAAATCAAGCTTTTTTTGCAGATATAGTCAAAGCTCGAAATCTCATGAAAAGGCAAGAGGACGACAGAAAGACCTTAACATAATTGTAGATTAGAGTCTTGCTTGAGCTCATACCCGATTTGCATCCAATGCTGGAACATACCTTAATGTATGAATCGACCCGGAAGCTATAAACCCTTGTTCACGAACGTAAAACTGCTGCATGGCGAAGGCGCAGAAGCAGTACTAGTTGAGCGAACGCGAACGCGGCCCTTATCCTCACCGTTGTAAATCAGCCTCATGCGCTCTGCGGCTAAATAAAGCCGCGTTCGCGCCCAAAGTTGTTCGCATGCAGTCTAGAAAAGCAGATGTCGGTTCTTTCGGAGGTACGACACAGCTTGAGTAATGTCCAACACTTTTGGATGTGTGCCGCTTCAGTGAGTAAAAACTCCAGCAGGTGGACTTATGATTTCGAGCAGCCTTCAAGCCTGTTTTTTCAAAATTTTTGATTTTTTCTTGAATAACCAAACGAAAACGAGACCCTTTCAATGAGTGATAGTAAGCTGGTAAACACAGGCTTTATCAAATTCTGGAATATTTCCTTATACAGCAGAGTGAATTATGGCATTTTTAGAATGGACCTATAATTTTCTCCATCACTGTATATCCTTGAGATCAAATACACATCACGCGTCGTGAGTAAGGGTATGCCCTTTCAAGGCATATTTTGATCTTAAGGCACGTCGAGTGATACCGCTACAAGTTCACATGCTTTTTTTATTTTCAGCCTTTACGTTATGACTGTTACAACATTTCCGCATTTTCATACATGATGCAGCTTTTTAAAGTGTAGATTAAAATGAAGGTGAGCAGATAAGAAGTACTTGTTCTTGATGAAAACTGATACGGGGTATGTAAATATGCTTAATATGAGTCCTTTCAGCCGTAACAGCAACGGCGGTCGCCACTGCAATCGCTCTCCGGTTGCTCGACTACAGCCGCTTTTATTTTTCAAAGTCACCCATCTTTTTATAAACTTGAAGAAAACATCGTAATGTGCTGGGAATATAATGATATTGATAATATTATCAATATTATTACATTATAAGTCCTATCAAAAATATGCAGAGCTAGCATATTTTTGATAGGACTTAAAAAGGTTGGAAAATAGAGGTTGATAAGCCCCGACATGCGAGAAGAAGCTCGTGAAAAATATCGTCATGTTGGAATTTTACTTATACCTACCAAAAATACGTGGCATTGTTATAAAATAAAGAGCAAATCTTTAGGATGGTCGTGTTGAGTGCGGGATGATATGACTTTGAAGACGGCGATCTCCCCTGGATTCCGGTGGAAAAGTACACAGCAATGGAAAGCTCAGCTGACTCGGCAATGCACTGTCATTTATTACGCTAAGGTATTGGGAGGTTAGTAATGTTAAAAATGAGAAATAAAGGTATCCAAGTAAATCAGTTTTCTCGTACCCACGGATTAGTAGAGCCTCCGAAGAAAAAATAGAAACGAGCGATACATAGGGTCAAGCGTGCAGAGTGAGACGCCATACCTGGAGGGTCGTATTGTAGAATAAGGAAGGAGAAAAAGGAGAAAGAAAAATCAATTATGAAGGTGGAGAAATGAAAGGTTTTTAGCTCAAAATGTTCGAACAAAGGGACGGTAATGTCGTATGTTGAACTTGACATTGATCATGACGCTCATAAAAAGTATGACGAAAACACTAATATGCTGAATCTAACCGCTTTTGGGAAAGTGGCTTGTCACCATATAAATACTGTAGCCATAAAGAAAGGGCCTCATCAAGCAAAATGAGTATCAATCCCTGATGAGCTTGCTAACAAGGGAATGATCAGAAATCGGAGTAGCCAACCCAGACAAGCTGCATATCATTAGATGTAGCATAAAGCGCAGCTTCAGATTTGTAACCCCGCTAAAAACATGAGGTAAAAAACTAATCAAAAGAATGCAAAATTCGTCGAAAATTTTTCTTTTTGTGTGCATCGTGTAGGATTTGACACGGAGAGATTGGAAATAGTGCTTGTAAGTATTGTCTTTCATGCTAAAATGCGAACGTGCGCTAGTGTGGCGCAACATGTAGCACATGGGATCGTGTGCGGACGTGATTGTGCCATTTCCCCTACATTCGTAAAAAGTATGGACCATATCCTGTCCGAATACCAAATCGCCGGTCTCTTTCCGATCACCTGGAACAATGCCAGCCCGCTGTCAAAAATGTCCATAAAATATATTACCACCGTTAAAGTGGTTGTTTTGCGAACGGATCGCGAATTTGACAGTACCGGCGGTTAGACTTTTGCACCCCGTCAACACTCCACAGACATAAGAAATTTTCAAAGAGTTTCTTAGATTTTTGTAAAAATAAAAGTGTGACAGAAATAATCTGCCAACCTACTAGAACACCCAGTATCTGGAAACTTCAGAATTCGGAAGTATTCTATACAGGGATTACTTACAAGGGAATGGTCAGAAATCGAAGTGGCTAATCGAAGCAGGCCACCCACCATTCGATGCAGCATTCAACGCTGATTTCGACTCTGTATTCCATATCTGCTTAGCGCCCTTGTGAACAAATTTATGAGCAATCTCACTGCGAGAAAAATCTTATATATAAAGCTGCTGAATGTGTGTATGACTGTCTGTCTGTACGTATGTGCGGAATAGAAATTTTTATTTCTGAACCGATTTGGACCAAACTTGGCACACATACACTTCAGGGCAGGGAGCGTGTCATAGGCTACTTTTCGTCATCGATCAATATCGATTTTATCGATTTTATCGATTTTTTGTAAAGTTTGAGCTACGGGGCTGAGAGTTTGCACAGGGGGGTAATCGAGCATGGGAATTCCGAATAGAATATTAGTTTTCAGGATTATCGATTACTTTCATCGATTTTATCGATTTTTTGCAATGTTTGAGCTACAGGGCTGGGAGTTGGCACAGGGGGGGGGTAAGTGGGCATGCTGATTTCGAAAACAACACAGGGAACGGGAAATGAAGTGTAGAAGTGGGCACAGGGAAAGGCTGTGCAGGGATAGGGATGGGACCTTTTTTACAGTGTTTTGACAGGCCCGAGCGGAGCCGGGTAAGCAAGCTAGTCGTACATAAAAACTGCGAAACTGAGCACATTGTTGCCAGCTCACCTTTAGGCTTTAAGAATATAAAGTAAACTAGCTGCTTGTTTTGGCTCAGAATTAAGCCGAACATGGCTCTGTACTACCAAAGTGCGCTTTGCATGCACGATTTCTTGGCAAAAACAACGCCTTCAGAGGCTAACTTCCCCCCATAAGCGTTAAGCACTATGACGGATATTATATTTCATTTTATTCAAGGCGTGCAACATCTAGACAATCAAGTAAGCACTTGAAAAGTATTCAATAACAAGGAGAACTAAAGAACTAAAGAAAGAGATAGACACCCACTTTGTCTGCTGAGATCTAACTATGGAGTTAGGTAGATTCAATTGCAAAAATCATCATTTGACGAAAGGGGTTTGCGACAACTAGCTTAATTCATTTGTAAGCAGTTGCTTGGAAACATATGCGCGAGAATTCTACATATGAGGTAATAAGGTTTCTGACCCGCTCCTTATAAAATATGTGCAAGCAAATTATCAGAAAAATTGCATAATTCTTTGAGTTTGGTTTTGTACCAATACTCCGTATACAACGCACCCCACATATCTTTTTTATTTATCGCCGAAACAAGCCGACTGTAGGCTAGCTCAGGTGCGTACCTTGATCTAGAAATGGAAACAAAAATAAAGTTATTTGGAATCTGTCTTCCAAAAAAATTGAGGTTAACTAAAAGATAGAGAAACGAAATAAACTCTGCTGAAACTCCTGGGTTATTAAAACCAATTGGGTGGCAAGAATAATTTATTAGAGAATATAGGCGAACGGCAGTTGGATACAACAGGAATAGTGACGTCTCCAGAACTTGGTATCCAGGCCCATTTATACAGCCAGCTTGGGCGTATATACAGGGCTCCTAAATTGCAGAGTCGTTTGCACCAGCGGTCGACCGCGTCGCGGCCGGGCATTTTGCCGGCGCCGGCGCCATCGATCGAGGCGGCGCCATTGATGCCCGGGGGCGACGCGGTCGCGCTACCGCTGGTGCAAACGACTCTGCAATTTAGGAGCCCTGTAGCTTGGATGCCAACATCTGGCAAGAAATGCTATCAATACAAAACGAGTTTCGCCTACTTGAAAGTAGCGCCGACGAGAGCAGTATCAAGGGACATGGTGAGCAGCGCGCGGGCAACTGTCAGCCATGGGGCGCGCGCCGCGTGCGCGTCACATTCTCTGTTTTCACCTGTGCAACCGCATTCGTCATGGAGCAGCTATTGCAG